ACCCACCCATCCAACTCCCGCACACAGAGGAGGTCTGTGGGATATCTTGTGGGATTGGAAGCCCACACATCTTAAAGTCCCTCAGGTTGAGAAACACTGAATTAGGCTGTGGAAAAAGCCTAACAACACCTCCTTGGAATTATAGACCAAAAATTACCAGTCTTTGTGTCCTTTAGAGATCTTTAAAACTATATATAACTCCAAAAGGACCCCCGGTCCCTACTTTACAGAAAGAAGAGGGGTTTGCTGCTTTCAAGAATTTCCTCCCCTTACCTTCCAGAGGCGCTTGACGTTGCAAGGGGCTTCTCTTCGTAAATGACCCCAAACCAAATTTGTCACACAATGCAAGAAGACTTTTATTTATTTATAATTTGGGGGGGGGGGTAGAGTATTTACATCGTATTCTCAAAGGGTTAGAGGCCTTCGGGCTGCTTCTGGTCCTAAGGCCGTTACGCCAACGAAGCTCCATCGCTCCTGCGCCTTAATAAAATAGCTGCTTTCCTGGTTGTTGCTTGTTGGCCAGATGCATCAGTCTGAGCAGGAGGTCTCCGGCTGAGCCATCCAGCAGGGTCAGATTCCTTTCCGAGGACGTTCGGCCCCGGTCGTTGTTCTCATCACCGCAGGAGGCATCGGAGACGCAGCTCTCTTTGAAAGGAGGGGAAGGAGAAGAACGGGTTGAGTTTCTGCACCGCAGGCGATGCCTCCGGGGTCAGCCCCACACAGGGAGGGGTTTCCTGGCCCTCACTTCCGGGGTTTTAGCAGCCACGCGCTCTGCCTGGGGTTAGGGTTGCCCCCCAGCCGTGGAAAGCATTGTCCTTTTGATTTCTGCAAATTAAAGGCCTGGGAATAGGCCAGACCACTTTTCATTCTGGCCAATGGACAGGCCACGATGCCTGCTCTTTCCAGCACACACAGTTTGTTTAAGGGGGGGGCACCTTTATAGGATTGCAGGGTTTCTCTATGGAGCTGAGAAACCCGGCCGCGAGGGAGAGGAAAATGCCGATATGGGTCGTCCTGTTTAGTGACTGCAATTGGTTCTGACGACTCAGCGGTCAAGCGAAATATGTGACTGAGAGAGACACTGCAAAGATCTCTGGTTGCTGCGGTCTCATTTAGATAAAGTTCTCTCCTACCGTCTCCTGTGCCTGACCCGTTTTTTTTTCCTTTTTTTTTTTTTTGCCCCCTCACAGGGCGGAGAGTTGCTTAAACAAGCTCTCTCTTCCTGATCTGCTTTTCTCCTCCAGGCAGCGTGGCTAAACAGTGCTCAGGTGAATCAACAAACTCAGGGCTACCACATAATGAGTTGATTAGATCCCTCCCATCAGCTGGCAACCGCTGCCTGAAACTGACCGGATCTTAATCAGTTTCACCCTGAAGGCTTTTGTTGTCCTAAAGGGCTGCGTGGATTGGAAAACTACTTTTTTACTACCGTTTACTACCATTGTATTTCCAAACAGTCGCTATCCAAGGCAGTTGCTAAACGAGGACTCCCTGTATTGTCTTGATTCATGCAGGAAAGAAAGAGAAGATGATCTCCACTGCTGGAACCTTTGCAGATACCTCAGACTTTAACTCCCAGAATTCCTGGGGCTAATAGGAATCCTGGGAGTTGAGGCCCAATGCATCTGGAAGGCATCTGTCTATAGCAATTTTCTCAACCTTGGCCGCTTTAAGATGTGTGGACTTCAACTCCCAGAATTCCCCAGCCAGCCATGCTGTCTGGGGGATTATGTGTGTGGTATCTTCAAAGGTTCCAACAGTGCAGAGCATCTTCTATTTCTTTACTTAAATACTCTATATAATC